TGGTGGTGGCGATTTTTGTCAATAATCCATCCACTACAACCTACATAATTAATCCCACACCTTTACACACACATATACTTACACACAACCACCTAACGCGGTGGTTGGTGGTGACAGGAGGCGGCAACCACCACCTCACGACGGTGGTGATGGCTTTTCTTAATTTTCCGTCCGAGATACACCCACACCACATCATGAATACCACTAACACCATGTACATGCGAAACACACATACTCTCAGCCACCTACTAGGTGGCTGACGACGCCGGAATAAAACAATATTTGTGACCAAAAAGGATGACGACAGAAGAAACCGATGTACACAACTCCACACTCACAGAAAGGAACGAATGAAAGGAGGGGTGAGTTACCGAGAGCTTCTGGTCGTTCACGACCTACAGTTCGTCGTTCACAACTCCATTCTTCAATCTCGTTGGTCCTTCCGGCCGCTCACGACGTTACCGGCAGCAGGGGTTGTGGTGGTGGTTAACGGCAAGGTAGCAGAGGAGTAGGGTGGCGGTTAGACTCAATAAGGCAGGCGGCAGCTGAGATGTCTCCAGAAATGGTGGCGGGTAGAAAATGTAGTTAGGGTTAGGGTTGATACAAGGAAAACGAGGGGGAAGTGAGGTGACGACTTAAGTCCCCCACTCTATCTTCAACTTCAGGCCAATTTAAGCTTCAGTCCCTCCCTCTTAATTTTTTTTCAAATTAAATTCATAATTTACCAAACAGCCCCTAGCTTCCAGAATTAATTACAGTTCGAGTCCAAAAGTTACAATTTAACCCTCAATATTCACAAATATAATTTTTAACACCCCAAGATGTACACCCTGCTAATTTAATACGACTTAGGGAAAAAATACAATATATAAAAAATACGTATCGGGGTTTTAGGGTTTATTATTTATTTATTTATATTTTATTTTTTTACTTATTTTATTTTAAACGGAATGTTACAATATCGAACACAACCGCCACCACGATGCGGTCAATACCTACCGCTTTGCTGCTTAAATGACGTGGTGGTACCCTCTTATTCGCACCGCGACCTAAGGTTTTTCCCAAAACCTTATTCTCGAAATCCTTAAGCCTTTAGCTAATCAATCCAAAAAACGGATGTTACAAAATTTTATTAAACAATGTCAGTAAACCCAATACTTTTAATACACAATATTTTGAAAACACTTACAAGTCAATCAATTAAAGTATACTCTATGTGTAAGCAATTAAAGATTCACAAATATAAAGAGGTGTAATTTGCCAATTTGTGTAATGGCTCTATTTTCCTTTAGAGTGAGAAAACGAATTGTTCTAAGTTTAAAGTAGATATCATATACACTAGCTACCCCGAGCATCAAGGGATTTTTTATATTTTTGTGGTCAGTTAATATCTGCAATGAATATATGTCATATGGTACAACATTGAAATGCCAAGCGTGACGTCGGATGATATGCCAAATAAAATGCCTTATCAAAATGGAATGGGTCGTAACTTTCTATTTAAACAAAAAACATCAATTGCGAGACAGCTCTACTGAAACGCATAATATTAAATGTCCTTTCACTTAAGAATGGTAAAAGGAAAGATTTTACGTATGTTCACCACAAGAGACATCAATTACAAAATTACACGGGATCTCTCAAAAAAAAATTTCCATTTGAGAAGGGCAAACATACGCATTTTATCTTTAACTCACTCCTCACTTTTTGTAGCTCCCACAACCCTTATGTATACAAGGCCATCTTTAGTTTCCTAAATAATCGATTTATAACAGCTAAAGTGAAATCCTGAAATGCTAGATCATGACATTCATATTGGATTCCGATTAATGTAATGATGAAGCAAATCAAAGAATCACATAGTATCATGCAAATAAATTAACCATTACAATGTCATTCAGAACATTTATGAAACAATAATTAGACAAACATCATGCTCTGTAATATGAATATATAGCTTATAGTTCTCTATAAATCTCATATTGAACTAGATAGAGTAGAGATTATGTAAAAGAAATGATATTTATTTGTAACTCAATTACCATTTGTGCTTTTCCATTCAGAAATTCCAAAATATAGAACAAATTCTTGAAGTATTAAGAAAAAAAGTCTCGAGATCACCACTCAAGCAATGAACATATCCCACATTTTCAAAAGAATTCAAAAACTATCTCATAATGTAAAAAAATCAAAAACCAATTAAAATAAAAATTAATAATATGAAAAAAAGAAAGTAACAGATTTTAATAAACATTTGTCAATGAACTACAGGAAACAATTGCAGATTTAGAAAGTAAACTAAAATAATAAACAAAGGAAAATTTAAAAGTTAAAGTAGAATAGTGAACTATTGCAAGTGAACAATAATTACTTAATTGAGGAGAGAAGTTTAACATAAACTTAGCAAAGTGTGAAGTGTCCCAAGTGAACATTAATTTTTCGGAAAAGAAAGGTGTGTTAGAAAAATCTTAACGAATAGTAGCAAACTGTCGCTAATGAACTATTATTTTCCAGAAAGAAGGATCCATGAGCAAACAACAAAATAACTTAGCGAAGCTTCACAAGGGTTCAGATAGAAATTTAAGTTTTTGAAATAAGAAACTCATTTGGAATTTGGCAAAGATTCAGCTTCCATTATACCAAGACCACTGAGAATTCAAAAAAATATTAATTCATCAAGATCAACATCAATAAATTGACATCTTCCAATAGATCTTGTGAATATAACAACTACCAAAGACCTAACGGGGTAGTCTTGTGTAGATCGCGACAATATTATTTACAACAATCATATGAGGTTCTCTAGGATTTGTTTGATACCTAGCATAATAACATACATAAAACATAATATCAAGTTGGTTTGCAGTCAAATAAAATAAAGAACCAATCATGCTTGGTAATTATATGTTTTAAAATAAAATAAAGAACCTATCATGCTTGGTAATTATATGTTTTCTGATATATATTATCTGCTTATCTGAGTAACTCATATTCTCTTCTTAATGCTTAGAGTAATCTTCAACCTTCGATGAGTATTGAAACTTTTGATGCATGACATCTCATATTTGTTTGGATGCATCATCTTTCTAATTTGTCTCCAAATTTTCTCGATGGATGGCTTGATAAATGTAGTTCTTAATCTCTAGATCTTTTATTGTTTGTTGATAAATCTGCTCTTCACGACCGGTTGCTACACCATTTTGTACCAAGCTCCCATAATCCTTGGAGAGAAGAAATTCCTTCATTAGCTTGGCCCAATGTTCGTAGTGGACATCGAACGAAAGGATGCTAGGGTTGGCAAAATTCTCGTTGTTTGCTTCTGCCATCACTCTATAGTTTAATTCGTTTTTCACAATCATCGTTGCTCTTGTGTTTATCACTCTCTCTTGCACTCGTGTTTAACCTTTTCTCTAGTTTTCTTTTTCTCTCTAATACATGTGTAAATCCAAGTACAAACTAATATTAGTGTAAACTAGATCTACACACTAATAAAACAAAGATGTACACATACGAGATAAAGAGTCATTAGACTAATCTAAGAAATATTCAGTAAGTAACAACTAACAAGGGGGCGGAGGTGGTATAGAAGACATGGGGTGCATGGACCCCATTTGCTAGTGGGTCCCACCTCAGGATTTAGAAAAAAAAAAATTCTTATTAAATTGAAGATTAAATTGAAGATGATGTCCCACTTTGTAATATTGTTGGCACCCACTTTCAAGATTTCATATATTCTTATGTGCTTTTTTCTTTCATTTACGGCCAATTGTTATTTCCTTTTTTTTTCTTCTCATTTTTCACCCCCTTAGACTTTTCATTAAAAAAGAAATAATCCAAAAACCCTATATCTATAGTTTTAAATCTTAAGAAAGCATCACTCCTGCTGTACTCCTGTTGATTTTTGGTCTGTCTCAGTAAAAGATTTTCATATTAATCTGGAATCACTAAAAAAATTCGATCAGATTTTGAGTAACTCAAGGATTAAAACAACCAAAGACAACTAAAACGACCCAATAGCTCTAATATCCATTTTGATCAATCATGTAGTCCTATAAGATTTTACGTGGAATATAAAAGGAAAATGACTTACAAGCCTAGCAAAGTTTTCAAACCGTTCAAAAAACTTCAATAATGTTTTGTGTTTAAGAAAACCCAACGAATTTAACCTTTTGTCTAAAAAAGTCCAACGAAGTTTCCAAACCGTTCAAAAAACCATAATCGTGTTTTGTCCATTCAAAAGATTAAGTTCGTTGGGTATTTTTGAACAGACAAAACATGATTTGGGTTTTTAGAACGGTTTGAAAACTTTGTTGGTCTCACAAGTCATTTTCCTGATATGGTAATAAGCTACGTCATCTGTTTCTCTTTTTTGACTTCCATAGAATTGAAAAAAGTGTAATTTAGTTGGCTTTTTTTTAGAGAAAATGTTAAGTTCGTTCGATTTTCTTGAACAAACAAAATATAATTGAGGTTTTTTGAACGGTTTGAAAACTTCGTTGGACTGGCAAGTTATTTTTACCATTTAAAAATCATATTGGTTAACTCAGTCAAGAGTCCTTGACTCCTTGTATGCAAAAATGATATGATTGTGGTTTTTCCTTATTTAACCTGGGACTTTATTTTCTGAAACAGATTCTGCAAAATACATGCCATGATGCCAATATTACCAAGTGAGTTAAAAACTACCACAAGTTTGAACATTGACGTAAGCAACAACAAATGTCTACTTTTTCGGAGTTCTTTGATAACACCTAAAAAGAGGTAAATGCGATCCTCACCAATCCGTCCTACAGCCATCATAGAAAGTAACTCACAATGTCTGCAAAGCTAATAATTAACACTTAGAAATTATGATTAACTTGAGAAAATGTAATCAACAGGTTTGATCCCATTCTCTTAAGAGTTAAGATAGTGAAATTATGGATACAAACAGACATGATGGAAATAACAGCTACAGATGTACAAATATCCATTACATGTAAGCTAAAATGTTCAAAAGTCTAGATTTGATTAAAGTGAAGATGGCTCAGTTCGAACCATACCTGTCGAAAGACCTTAACAATTAGATCATGATATCCATCACAATTTAATGTCAAATAACAAGACAAAAGTTCCTCAAGCTCTTCTGGTTTCCTAATTCGTTTCTCCATTATCATTTCTATCATCGAGTCTCTGAAATCCTGCTCTGGATGAAATGAAGTTTTCACAATGGCAAAACTACCAAGACTGGTCCTGAATGCATCTTCAGTCACTCTCTCCTTTGTCTTCATCAATGGTTTATTCATGTCTTCAAGAGCTTTGATCTTACATGCAGCCTTAGCAATTGTTCTTGGAGAATGACATTTGACGTTACCACCATGCTTTCTGCTTATATGAAAAGATTTCCGATGGTTCTGATCGTTTGACTTGATCTCATTGATTTTCATGTTTTTCACCTTCTGCCATTCTTCCTCCAATTTTGGATCTTCGAAAGTGCAATCTTCTGGAGACTTACGAAAATCTTCATCTGCATCGCCACTGATCAAATTTCTTATTTTTGTTTGGTCAAAGATCATGTTACCGGAGCTTCCATAACCTACCGGAGAAACATTGAGTTTGTTATCTGAACTACACAAACTCTCGTCACCTTCATCATTTTCTTTCCCAAATGAAAGCCTCCAGTAAAAACCATCACTATTTGAACATTGCTTTGGTAATGGAATGTGGTTTGCTTTCGTTTTGCAGTCTGAAGATTCAGGTTCTGGTTGGCGTCCTTCACATCCTTTTGTGTTCTTGAACCTTGAAATCCATAATTTGGAGAAGACATTTGAGGTTGAAGAAGACACCGTTTGGCTGGTTTTCTTTCTACCCGATTTCTTCATTTTGATCAAACCCAAATTCGTTATCTTGATTTGGAAGGTTTGATGTGTGAGTTTTAGTGAAAAGGAGTTGGCGGTGGACGGTTAGAGATATCGATAGTGGGGAAGTGGCCATTTGGAGGTGGTTTATTTTATGGAGTCGTGGTTAATGAATCATGATTGCTATGCTATCTTTCAAGTTCAAACGCAAAGGCCCGCCATAGATCTTGTGAGCAGGCACTTTCTTTCTTCTTTTCATATTTAGATGGGTCCTACACCTCTACTTTTGCTGTCATGCTATTCTAAATTGGAGGGGACCAATTTTTTTTTTTTTTTTGTCCTTTAATTCTCAGAAAGTGTGGTTGTGTTTGTTGGACTGAATTACAAGTGTTTGCTAAGTTGAGTAGTGGATATATCTCAATATTATTATTTCATTCCCTTCGAATTATTATTTTATATATATATATATATATATATAATTGTATTTTTAACTATGTCCATATATTTACTAATATCTATACAGGAAGGTTAAAGCGAGAACAATTATGAAATTCAGAACACGATAACAGTTCTAGGACACATATTTCTTTTTGCCGTAAAACCCTCATGCGCATCGAGACGACGGAGGAATTTAATATTCATATGAAAATATAAAACTAAGTATAATCTCGCATATTTTAAATCTGCCGCTTAAATGCTGAAAGCGTACAGAGAAGAAAATAACAAATAATATTCATATATGAATAAGGGAGGAGGGGGTCATTTCCTCCCAACCTACTCAACCTACTGTCATATCAGTTTTTCTCATTCATTTTTCTTCATCTTTCTCAACCCATAACACACGGAAACCCTATCTTTTTCAACCCACTCAACCTATTCAATTAAAAAAAATACAAAACAATCAAGGTAAAATCTTAATTAGCAATAGAGTTACTGCCGGTACCACTCCCTCTTCAGCAGGTTGTTTAATTAATTGGTTTCACTAACCCACTTCATCCTCTCTCTCTCTCTCATTTTCTCTTGTACCATGTGTTTTAAGACTTGTACCTTAGTTGTTTTGTATTTTTTTTTAAATTGAGTGGGTTGAGTGAGTTGAGAAATCTAGGATTTCCATGCGTTATGAGTTGGAAAAAATGAAGTAAAAAGAGAGACAAAAACTGATGTTACAGTGGGTTAAGAGGGTTGGGAGGTAATGACTTCCTCCTTCCTAAGTATATTCATATATGAATAATCACTAGACACATACTTATTCATATATAAATATACTTATGCATATATGAATCTCCGCCATCGTCACCTAACACCTCTGTCACCCATCAACACCACCACCGCCACTGCCACCACCACATCCGCCACCAACCGCCACATACGCATCTATGAATAATTAGGTGTGAATAGACACTGACTTATTCATATATTAATATACTTATATATGAATATATGAATATGCTTATTCATATATTAATATTATCTGTTCCGTCGTCCTGATACACTATAACGTTTAAGCGGCAGATTCGAAATATGTGAGAAATAGTTATTTTGAAAAACTAAAGCTAATTTATTTTTCAAAAAATTATTTTAGGTTGTTATTTTTGACAAATTAAAAACTAGTTTATATTAATGTTTTTTAAGACAAAATCTCAAAAAATATCTTTGTGGTTGTCAAAAATCTCAAATATGGTCTCTATGGTCCAAAAAAGTTTGGTGATGCAACATTGGTCCAATTTTCGATACCTTGTATGGTTTTGGTGCCTATGATTAACATTTTTGTATAGTTTTGGACCAAACCCAACCTAAAATGACAAATATACCCTTTTGAATTTTATTTATTTATTTTCTTATTTTTTTCATTAAAAAAACATCACTCACCCAACTCTCTCTCTCTCTCTCTCTCTCTCTTTCTCTCTCTCTCTCTCTCTCTCTCTCTCTCACTCATGCTACATTAGTCTTTTCAGCTTCTCATTCTCATAAAAAAATACCAACATCGTCACCACCGATCAACAAAGAGGAGTCGTGTCGCCGCCATCCTCGCCAGAACCATCACCATCCTCGTCGGAACTACAATCATCCTTGTCGGAATCATCATCTTTAGATAGCAATGTCGTCGTCACAATCGTCTGAAAAACACACCTCTTGGTTTGTCACTACCATCCACTATCACATTTATTGCCACCACCATCCGCCTTTAACTACGTCTATCTTCACCTATATTTTTCCCACCTTCATCTCCGCCCATAAACCATTCCATAAACGATCAGAAGCCCTTATCTAATCCGTTAAATACATCGATCTGTATATTTTGGCACCGAAAATCATCGGTCGCCGCGAGGTCAGTGGGGTTGTAATGCACACCTCCTTCCTTGTTGGAACGTCGCCTCCTCACCAAAACATTGACATTAGGGTTTGTAGGTGTGATGCGAAGATGAACATATCTTGGAAGGGTTTTAGGTCTGGAAATGAAGAAGAGGAGGCTTCAGATCTGGTGACGAATATGGGGAGGTTTCTGATGGCTTTCAGATAAGGCAACAGAGAAAGAGAGGCTTCAGATGATGATGATGATGATGATGAGGCTTCTGAAAACCCTATCTCCAACGAGAAGGGCGGCGGTTTCGACGGTCCAAATCTCTAACACCATCTAATGATCAGAAGGCACCGATGAACATTGTTTGGGTAGGGACGACTCTGATGGATTCCGGTTGTGGACAACGGTGGGGGGAGGTAGTGGCGTCTAGCAGCGACGGTGATTTTTTTCCGGTGGTGGAGGCTGAAAACAAGTGTCTTAACAATGGGTGCTGAAAATGTTTTAGGTTTAGGTGGTGGAGAGAGAGAGAGAGAGAGAGAGAGAGAGGGAGAGAGAGAGACTTTTGTAATTTAATAAAAACATTAAAAACTCTATAAATTAATATTTATAGGATCATCAAAATTTATTAATTAAAAATGTTACCAATTACTCGATAAATTAATAACTAATAATTTTATGTATACCTAATATTTTATTAACTTATAATGAAATACTTAATTTACAAAACCTTTAACTTCACTTAATTATTGTACAACTAGGTTTAAATCCGTGGAAACCATAGTTGAAAAAAAAATACTAATTAGAATTCCAAATCGTAATTAATGACTCATCGAATATGTGCAAAAAGATTATTAATTTACAAATATAGAAATTTTGTATATAACTTTATTATGATTAGTTAAAATTAACATATGCATTGTTATGAATATTTGATCTACGTTCTATATGTGTACATATTTAATAAAATCATGATTGTGTACAATACAATATAAATTTGAATACAATGACTGAATTGAAGAATAGGTAGGTAGTTTTAAGGAAAAAATCAATATTATACAAAAATAACAAAAAGATAATTATAAATCATAAATTTCCAAAATGTTCTTTTGATAAAACGTTGGATGTAATAGTTCCTCGTTGTAAAATGTTTCCTTGGACAAAATAAAATAACGTAGATACAAACTATCGTAATGATTAATCATAAATTTGCAAAAACTTATTTTTATATAACAATGGATGTTTTGTTCATGAATATATCAATAATTATTTTTAATTATTTTGTAAAGTACAAAATGGGTATTAAGTTTTCCACATAAAACACAACATCATTACAACTATTGTAAGAAATTTAGGCAAAAATATTAATAAATACATTCAATTATTGTTTCAAAACTTCTACTTTTATGATATAACACTTCTCAGCGCTTTTATTAGTTTATTATTCACAATGAGTAATTAAGAAAATATATTCTTGAGTATGATTTTAAAACACAAATTTATTAGTATATTCGAATGAAATGAAAATTTTAAGGTTTTTTCTTCTAAACATTCAAATTCACTGTGGATTACTTTGATATGTTTACTTTTAATCAAAAAATTGGAACTTTGGAATTTAAATTTTATTGGTTAAATGAAAGAAAACAACCGATATTGATAATTTTAAATATATACGATACAACGGAACACACACACCGAGGCAAACATGAGAATAATTTTCTTTTTATTTTTTTATTGGAAACACACATATGGTCAAATTCATACACAATTATAACCTTGTAATTTCAAAGCACCATGTATAAAAAGAAAAAAAGAACGAAATAAAGTTAGAAAAAGGAAATAGAATTCAAAGTAAGATGTTATATCAGACTTTAAAATTAAAGTACATAGCTATATATTGCATTTAGCCCATGATCGGACTAACGCTAGAAAGAGTAATGTACACACACAGTCAAATACTTACATGATTATAACATTGCATTTAATAACTTAAGAAGTAAATGCTTATATCACCACTAATTTTGGAATCATTTTTCAATCTTAATCTCAAGTCTATGGAGGAAATGATGAATCATTGATGTAAGTTGCATCTAATATTGTGCATCTGAAAGTTAATGCATCCATAACTAATTTTTACATCTGAAGTCCACAGAAAGGGCAAACATAAGGAAGATGACTACAAATGGAAATTTTAATGTGAAAAGTCAACCATTTAAGTACTTGATGGTAGTTGCTTTTCGTTTTTAGTATGATGCATTAAAGTATCCCAAGAAAATACATATCCGAAAGACAGTTAGTTGACATGGATGCCACCAACTTCATATGAACTTCAAAACTCATCTGATATATTGAAATGAAAGCAGTAGGCCATGGATTTTGAAGAAAATGTAACTGTCATCGTATAATCCGTGTCTATATCCAATACTTTACTCTTATTAGCTTTCTCCAATTTTGAATTACTTTTACTTATAATGTCCTCTATTGTAGAAATTTTGATAATAATCTCATAAATCAAATCAACAAACCAATATGTCCTAAAGAAGAATACGCGAGTGATTAGTGATGGAAAGATGATTTCTATAAACTTAGGCTACCAAATAGAGTATAATTAGAAATTAATCACCAATGTATGCTTCCCCTTTATAAACAAAATAAGAAAAAGAACTTGATTTGACTTAGGCTTTTTAGACTCTATAGGTGTAGTCGGTGGTTGAAAAAGGTTCAA